TATATATATATATATATAAAATGTGTGTGTATGTAGTTACCAAGTCCAGTTGAAGATGCAGGTGTAGTTCCAAAAGAAAATCCTGATGTTTGTCCAGCTGGTTTAAACGAAGAATTAAATAATGAGGATCCAGTGTTGGAAGTGGAATTGAAGCCTGTATTAGTTCCAAATGTGGAAGGTGTGGCAGCACCAAATGTAGATGTTGTTCCAAATCCAGTCGTATTGGTTTTAGTACCAAATAATGGAGTAGTAGTAGTATTATTTGTAGCCGGTTGACCAAAACTAGTAAAACCAGTACTAGTCGATGTTGATGGAATATTAAAAGCAGACTTGTTTTGATTGAATAGTCCAATACTCTGCAATAAATGCATAAAATATGAGAATAATTTTGATTTTTACATGCAACATGTATATCGTATATTACTTGATTGGGTTGTGTGGAACCAAATGCAGATCCAAAACCTGTACTCTGTCCAGTATTAATACTACCAAAACCTGTACCAGCAGTATGGTTAGTATTGCTGGTACCGAAAAGCGGCGTCGGGGCAGCTGCTGTAAATAAAATTTTATACTTTATACATTTTGTATGTATTGCTTTGTATACTTTATAGTTTTCATATTTTTAAAATAAATATCTCTTATTAATAAAACAAAAAGGTTATTAATAAATAAGATAAATGGAATCACACACATATCAGAAACACAAAAATCTAAAATCTTCAACTTTTCAACTATGATTAACATTAAAATATATAAAAATTATTAAAAAATAATATATATTGATATATATAATTAATATATTTTCCGAGATAGATAATATTACTTACTACCAAATGGTTTTGTTTGAGTATTAGTACCAAACAAATTTGTGGTAGGTGTAGAATTGAATGCAAAGTTATTAGTTGTTGTAGTCGCTGGTGTTCCAAAATTATTAATAGGTTTTCCAAATAATCCGGTTGATCCCGACTGACTGGTGGTGCCAAATCCTGCAGTCATTGACCCAAATCCTTTGACAAACAAAATAAGTTGGAACTCTTGCTACTTTATAAATATTGATCATAAGTATATGAACATAAATATTTATATTATATATATTACCTGTTCCACCTGTACTAGTACCAGCTGCTGTATTAGCAAACGGCGATGTCTGTGCTGGTGTTCCAAAAAGTCCAGTTTGCGGACCTGTTTGAGAAAAACGAGAAATAAAAATTCAATATATATTCTAGTTTTCTCATTTTTTCACAATTATTAATTCAATGATTTGCAATATACCTTTCCTTCCTACTTGATAATCTTCAAAACGTAATTCTTCATATGATTTTGATTCATATTCTTTCATAGATGCAATACAACAATGACGTGCAGAAATACTATGTGATATTCCATTTTTTGACATAGAATCAGTTGTAATGACAGGTGTAAATTTCACTATGGTACCAGTTGGTACAGTAGTAGTATTAGTATTGCCAAAGCCTGCATAGAAAGAAATCAAAATATAATCTAAACTTTAGGGATATTATTGTTATAGATTATAATTATTATTATAAATATATATTGATATATAATGTATATTTCTATAATACCTATTAATATACATACTATCTATTTAATATACATAATATTTGTAATTTACCTGCAGTTGTGCCAAAAAGATTCGTATTTGTAGTAGTGTTGGTTTGACCAAATGGAGTGGTTTGTTGTGTATTTTGTTGTGGTTGCCCAAATAGATTAGGACCAGATGTCGTACCAAAACTGAAACTGCCAGGTTTGTTTGTTTTATATATATATATATAAAATGTGTGTGTATGTAGTTACCAAGTCCAGTTGAAGATGCAGGTGTAGTTCCAAAAGAAAATCCTGATGTTTGTCCAGCTGGTTTAAACGAAGAATTAAATAATGAGGATCCAGTGTTGGAAGTGGAATTGAAGCCTGTATTAGTTCCAAATGTGGAAGGTGTGGCAGCACCAAATGTAGATGTTGTTCCAAATCCAGTCGTATTGGTTTTAGTACCAAATAATGGAGTAGTAGTAGTATTATTTGTAGCCGGTTGACCAAAACTAGTAAAACCAGTACTAGTCGATGTTGATGGAATATTAAAAGCAGACTTGTTTTGATTGAATAGTCCAATACTCTGCAATAAATGCATAAAATATGAGAATAATTTTGATTTTTACATGCAACATGTATATCGTATATTACTTGATTGGGTTGTGTGGAACCAAATGCAGATCCAAAACCTGTACTCTGTCCAGTATTAATACTACCAAAACCTGTACCAGCAGTATGGTTAGTATTGCTGGTACCGAAAAGCGGCGTCGGGGCAGCTGCTGTAAATAAAATTTTATACTTTATACATTTTGTATGTATTGCTTTGTATACTTTATAGTTTTCATATTTTTAAAATAAATATCTCTTATTAATAAAACAAAAAGGTTATTAATAAATAAGATAAATGGAATCACACACATATCAGAAACACAAAAATCTAAAATCTTCAACTTTTCAACTATGATTAACATTAAAATATATAAAAATTATTAAAAAATAATATATATTGATATATATAATTAATATATTTTCCGAGATAGATAATATTACTTACTACCAAATGGTTTTGTTTGAGTATTAGTACCAAACAAATTTGTGGTAGGTGTAGAATTGAATGCAAAGTTATTAGTTGTTGTAGTCGCTGGTGTTCCAAAATTATTAATAGGTTTTCCAAATAATCCGGTTGATCCCGACTGACTGGTGGTGCCAAATCCTGCAGTCATTGACCCAAATCCTTTGACAAACAAAATAAGTTGGAACTCTTGCTACTTTATAAATATTGATCATAAGTATATGAACATAAATATTTATATTATATATATTACCTGTTCCACCTGTACTAGTACCAGCTGCTGTATTAGCAAACGGCGATGTCTGTGCTGGTGTTCCAAAAAGTCCAGTTTGCGGACCTGTTTGAGAAAAACGAGAAATAAAAATTCAATATATATTCTAGTTTTCTCATTTTTTCACAATTATTAATTCAATGATTTGCAATATACCTTTCCTTCCTACTTGATAATCTTCAAAACGTAATTCTTCATATGATTTTGATTCATATTCTTTCATAGATGCAATACAACAATGACGTGCAGAAATACTATGTGATATTCCATTTTTTGACATAGAATCAGTTGTAATGACAGGTGTAAATTTCACTATGGTACCAGTTGGTACAGTAGTAGTATTAGTATTGCCAAAGCCTGCATAGAAAGAAATCAAAATATAATCTAAACTTTAGGGATATTATTGTTATAGATTATAATTATTATTATAAATATATATTGATATATAATGTATATTTCTATAATACCTATTAATATACATACTATCTATTTAATATACATAATATTTGTAATTTACCTGCAGTTGTGCCAAAAAGATTCGTATTTGTAGTAGTGTTGGTTTGACCAAATGGAGTGGTTTGTTGTGTATTTTGTTGTGGTTGCCCAAATAGATTAGGACCAGATGTCGTACCAAAACTGAAACTGCCAGGTTTGTTTGTTTGACCAAATGCTGAAGTTCCTGTATTTGTACCGAAAAGATTTGTGCCTGCATTTTGCTGTGTACCAAAAAGATTAGTACTTGTATTCGTTGTCCCAAAACCTATAAAAATAAAAATACAGATTAAACTTTAAAAATCTACTGAAATATTATCATATATATTTGTCACATATAATTTACATTTATTGTTTATAAAGCCTTGTGTCCACGATGCTAGAACTCGGTCCAAGAAATGTGTAGCATCTCAATTTGCAGTTTTTACGGAAAAGCGGTAATTTAATTGGCTACACGTTTCTTGGACCAATATCTCGGACCAAATTCTAGCATCGTGGACACAAGGCTTAAAACTATTTAATTATAGATTCTATAGATAATCCATATCCAAATTTTTTATGCCACTAATATAATAGACATAAATTATTTTGAAGGAACCATAATATAAAAAATAGTTTTAAACCAATTTGAATTGTTTACATTTGCAATTTGTTATATATTTTTCAAAATATAAATGATTTACGAAGTTTACGAATTCAAAAATTATTATACTATATTATGAAACTTTTAGAGTTTATTTGTGGAATTTTTAGAAAATTCCTTAAATGATTGTTAAATATATATATAATATATATACAATTGATGTGTTTCAAATGCATGAGTGGTTCATAAAGGTATTTCCTAGTTGTACATGCAAATGAAACAGTTCATAAATTGCTACCTCCAAAAGACGGTTGAGTATTAGTTGGCTGTCTAAATGCTGGTGGCGTTGTGGTATTGCCAAACAAGCCACCTGTGGTAGAACCTGTAGACTTAGAACTAAAGAGTGATGAAGTATTGCTACTACCAAAGACAGGTGCTGCACCACTACCAAAACTTGTTGTAGTAATGGGTTTACCAAATGCAGACTGAGCAAACGGACTGTTTTGCGTTGCTGTACTAAATCCACCTAAACAAAAAAAGTGCACATTTTAATAAAATCTTCTTTAATGAAATCTCTAAAATGATATCTATCTATGTATCAAATATACATACTGAACGATGTATTTCCAGTTTGTCCAAACATATTTTCAGTCAAGTTATGACAAAATCTTGCTTAAGCAATCTAAAATAAAATTTATTAGATTAAATTAATTCTATATAAAATAGCTCTTATATACTAATGTATTTATATCAACCGATTATATTTATTATAAAAATTATCTGTATTCCAAGAGAGACTAAAAGCTGTTAAATCAATCTAAAACTTTAATACACAATAATTTTAATAATTGAATCTCCCATTTGTTAATGCTAATTATTAACCTGAAAAAATTATAGCAAGTTTTATGAATAATATAATTTGTTGATATATTTTGTGATATAGTTTTAAAAATCTGAGTGGCATTTTAAAAAATTTATAAAAGAAGCATATTCTCTCTCTCTCTCTCTCTCTCTCTCTCTCTCTTTTATCATATTTTTTCCAATCTTTTAGTATTTTCAAGAATAAAGAATATTTTAAACATACATTGAATATATATTATCAAATTATATTATTCGTAAAACTCGTCATAAGTATTTTAGCATACCTCTTACATAGATTTTTCAACACATTCACTGCTAAATCACCGATAATTGTCATATGATAATGTATTGTGATATGTATAATATGCAATTAGTAAAATTTGCAAGATTATGACTACGTGTAATAATAATAGAAGTGTTACAAAGTACACATTGGTATGAATAAATTCATATATTCTTATTTATTAAAATTTAAAAAATGATTATGTATGTGTATTATAGTGATACTTACCTAATACAAAATAACCGCACATGGACATGAACAAAAAGTCAGCTAAAATACGCTTCGCAGTGAATGTGTTAAAATTCATATTTTATATTTTTGTAATTTTGCATTAAAATGCAGTAATTATATACAGTAATATTATGTTCACTAAACTTAAAAAAATATATATAAATACAATATTTATATCTATTCTGAAACATTATTGCAGCATGAAACAGTTACATATTATGCTTTATTAATGTTTAAAAAGAGAAATTTTAAAATTCAAACAAAATCAACGTCTTATGATATATAAAAGATAACAATTTATATCAATATAAATAAATGATTAGTCTTGTCTATCGTTTCTGTTTCTGATGTATTTTGATAATTGTATTATCAAAATACATCACGAGATACAATAATATACTAACAATACTTGTAAACATAAATATCTATCATAACAATATTATGTGCATAAAATTGCTAATAAAAAAGAAAAAAAGGTAAACAATAATTTTTTCTAATAGAGATTCAATTTTTGCGTCTCCAATCTATAAAATATTTTTATCAATAGCTATAGAGATAAGAATGCGTAATACGCATTTTGCAATATAGCTCTCGTTTTGGTTATAAACTCGTTATCCTAGTGTGTCTTCTATTGGAGAAAATCACTTCAGCAAAATACTCGACTAAACGGTTGTTATTTTCGGTTGCAAATGTTTAAAAAGTTTTTCACTTACCCGTATAAAATTCACTTGAATTCACGCATGAAGCGCTATATCTTTTTATGATTGTCCAAATCGTGCAAATTTGACACACAAGCAGTTGTATGTACGCAATTACACGAAATGGCATGCCCAACAAACTTCCATGCAATGTTCCCACATCGTTTTAAAGGCCATTGTACTTGAAAAAATTGTAGTCGTAACCGTAAAGCCCGTATCAAACTACGTATTAAAGATTGAAATTTGACCAATCAGGATAAAAGGAACTAAAATTTCCTTGTCCTGATTGGTCAAATTTTAATCTCAATGCATAGTCTGATACGGGCTTTAGGATTCGTTCCCACTGAGCGCGTCATGCGTCGCGTCACGACAGCCCTCTACAATGGCCGCGTTCAGCAGAGAAAACCGCTTAGTAGCAATCGAATGTGATTGGTTCTTACTTTTAGAACCAACGAATCAACGTCAAGTGTTGACAAGACGATAACTGAGCGCTTTCTCTGCTGAACGCGGCCAATAGAGTCGTAATTTGTAAGAAATTGAGGGTAAATATAGCGAAAAGGGGACCCAGCCCCAATAACCTTGATATATGTTGTCAAGGACATAATTCTGAGTAACTTTTTCTTCTAATTTAATCGTCGCTCGTTGCTTATTAAAAAGTTGGAAGTGCGCGCGCGCGCGCGTGCTTCCTGTCCATGCATGTACTTTAGTATATTTCAAACTTTTTTTGTTAATAACTTTTTAATAAGCAACGAGCGACGATTAAATTAGAAGAAAAAGTTACTCAGAATTATGTCCTTGACAACATATATCAAGGTTATTGGGGCTGGGTCCCCTTTTCGCTATATTTACCCATAAATATTTTAAAACGATTCAACGATTCTGCATCGAATAAGCCTTGATTTAATCGATTAGACTAAAAATTAAAAATGTCCGGCTAACTTTACACCAATATTTTAATTATTTAATTAAAAAAAAAACGATTGACCACCAATCGCTTTAATTAGGCTACCAATCATCACCAAACGACCAGAAAACGATTAGATAATTTTAATTATTAAAAAGTTAAAGTGGTCCGGTTAACTTTATGCAGCCCAATATATAGTCGATATATAACCGGAAATAAGTTGGCGATGGAAGTTCATATTTTTTAATAATTAATAGCTCAAACGATTGCTCCTTAATTGCTCCGTCAGAATCCACAATTGCTCCCCTTTTAAAATTAGTAGTTTTTGGAATACTTACAAAAAACGTAGAATTTATCATTTTCACTCAAAAACATATTTCCAATAGTTTTCTGCAACTATATCCAGCATAAAACGATTGCTCCTTAATTGCTCCATATTGCTCCATCATTATTTTCATGATTTATTGCATTTTTAATCGAAAATTAAGGGTCGACAGGAGTGACGGACAAACTCCGAATTGACATTGGAGATCTCGCGCGGTGAAAATGTTAAAATAATCTATATATTTATAATTTGTATTATGTATCTGTTTCAGGGTACATCTCAGACAAAAATGCATGCAGCCTTCATGAAGGACAGAAGGTTATTCAAGAATGGCTACGACACGCAGGAGACCGTATTAATTACGCACATAAAAAAATTTTATAAAATATTTTAATTATTGTATATTTTATTATATTGTTAAATTATAATGTTAAATAATTATTAATTATAATTATTATATTATTAATTAATTATTGTAATTAATTAAATAAAATTCATAAATAAAGATAAAAAAATATAATAAATATAATTCTCCAGCTCTTTATTATTATCTAAACCGTAATATCTACAGTACCGATCGAAATTACACACGTCTCAAAGCAATCCCATATATGATGTCTTAAAGACAATATCTCAAAGACGTCTTAAAGGCAATATCTCAAAGACGTCATAAAACAGGACATAAGACATCTTAAAGACGTCATAAATACGTCTTTCTGATAGTCTTATAAGACGTCTTAATAATTTTAGGACGTTTTTTAGACACCTTGAAGACGTCTTCATGTTCTCTGGACTTACAATATATCTTACAGTAATATTATTTCTCGTATATTTTCTCGTATATTCTCAGAATATACTTGTAATATCTTTTATAGTATATTATTTCTCGTATATTCTCGTATATTCTCAGAATATACTTTTGAATTACGCAGAATTTAATATATAGTGAAACATCAAAAAGTCTGATGGCGCTGACATCACGATTACATTTTCGGTAGCACGCGGTATTGGACAACAAAGACCTGATCGGCCATGTATAGTCGCATTCCTCTTTTCAGTGTGCTCTATATTATTTGGTTTGTTCTCTTTGTTTTATAAAAAGTTGGCTAATAAAACCGTGATAACTGTGTAAAACGTGATACGTGTAAAACAAGATAATTGTGTGAGACGTGATAGCAATTTATTCGGAAATAATGAAGTAATGAAAATATGTTACTTTTCCAGGTGTTATACGAAAATCACATGGTGATGTAACTGACGAGCAGATAGTAATGCCAGTCAAGATATGGCTAGCCCATTCTAAGGAACGTAAGGAAAGAAAGCACAAAAACATTCATCAAGAATGAGTACTTTTCATACTCCGCGTTTATTTTTAAAGTATATTTTTAAAGTTTATTTGTTTTTATTTTTATAAGTAAAGTTTATTTTGAAGACATTCTGAATTTATTTAGAATTAAATGTCTCTTATTAAGTCATAAGACTTCCACAGACAATAATAAAATTATATATATTGTATATTATATTAAATCTTAATTTTCAATCATTTAGAAATATATTCTTATGTGATATTCTTGTTACAGTGTTATGACATAAATTGCGTACATAATAAAAAAGGAATATTAAAGTTCAACGAGTGGAAGAACAACATTTGATCTTGCGGCAAAGGATTTGAGATTAAAGCTTTCCATTTAGACTAGAAGGTTTAATAAATTAGGTAAGTTTTATATATTCTTTAAATTTTATAGTGAAGCCATTTTTTATTGCAATTTTTTGTTTAAATGATTTGAAGCTGACTTATTACCTCTGCCAATCAAAAATATAAGGAGCAGAAAACATATATATTAGAAATAAGAAACTTGTGTTAAAGTAATTTCTTTTCAATTTTCCAAGTTATGTGGTATGTGCATAGCAATGCCAATCAAGATATGGCTAGCCCATGCTAAGGAACGTAAGGAAAGAGAGCACAAAAACATTCATCAAGAATGAGTGAGCTTTTCATACTCCGCGTTTATTTTTAAAGTATATTTTTAAAATTTATTTGTTTTTATTTTTATAAGTAAAGTTTATTTTTAAGACATTCTAAATTTATTTAGAATTAAAAGTCTCTTATTAAGTCATAAGACTTCCACAGACAATAATAAAATTATTATAATTTCAAGATATTATATTCCAAAGATTATATTCCAAATATAAATGTATTAATAAGATAAAAAGTATTATATATTATATAACATATAAAAATAATGTATAAATATTATATATTATCATATATATTTTTATGAAAAATATATATTTGTTATATATAAATAAAAATATATATTTGTTAAAACATAAATAATTAAGAGTACAAATTAATATACCCGTAATAATGTCGTATAATTGGAGAATGCTTCACCTTTGCTATTGTTGGCCATTCCCGTTGCCCTGCAATACAGCTGCAGATTTGGGGACCTGACAAAGAATCTTTAACAATTACACCATGTTGCGCCATTGGAACTTCTCCAAGAAAAATATCGTTTCGTGTGCCAAGAGGAACAGACTTTTCCACGTTTGCTCCTACGGATCCATTGACCAGCATTTGGGTTCCCCTCTACTATAATGGTTATATAACCGTGACGGGATGGATGACAGTTCAACACGCCCCGCACAAGCTACTTAGTAAAGTTATATTACCGGAATTGTCGCTGTAATAGACATCATACTTGTAAAAGCAAATGTGCAAAAAAATTGTTGTCACTAATTGACATCACACTTGCAAAAATAAGTGTGTAAAAAAATTATTGTCACTAATTGACATCACATTTGCAAAAGCAAGTGTGCAAAAAATATTCTATAAATGACAGATACAATAGAGCATATTATATATTATAATGTGGTATGATATGGCTACAGGCGAAGATCCACGTTAAAAAAATCTTACGCGCCATTGGTGGTACCTCATATAGGTGGTGTGGAAAATCATCATTCAGTATTGTTTGACAACGACACAAACGTATATATGTGGTCCGTATATACGTTTGTGTATCGTAACGATATTGTAAATATATATGTATAGAAACTAAAGTTAAATATTATTATATGACATATTTTTTAAATATTTAAACTTTCTTATAGTACTTTTCATTATTTTTAATCATTTGTCGGAAAATCGATATATTTCTTGTACAATCAAATGTATGATTTTTCCTTTTGTTGTTTCCACACGGATATTCCTTCTTTCAAATCATCGATTTAAAATGCATTTTTACGTGGATTAAAAACTTTAAGTAATTTATATACGTATCTTAATCATAAATATATTATATAATAGATATATAATAGATAATATATCTCATACAAAAAGGCTGAAAAAAATATTTAAGGCATAGCAAGAAGCGACAATCGAGAAGCGATCAAGCGACGTGTACCGCTCGGTCTTCGTGCCGGCTCGATAAGAAGGAGAGAGATAGAAAACAGTATATCTGTCCTCTTCTGCTATCCGAAGCCAGCCGAAGCGCCGAGCTCACACGTACGCGGTTTGCGCTTGTGTGCGTCATCCCCTCCACTACGGTTGCGTGTTGCTAGCGTGGCCATTCTGGCATCACTGCCCTATTCTAACCCTGGACTTGCCGGTGGCGCCCTCCGCACGCCTCACCTGCGGCGCCTTACCTAACCGACTTCTTGGTTGTTGCAGGTTAGTACCCGGCCTTGCGTCCCCCTTAACGTACACTCGTCTTTCCAACTGCAATATAACATGCCTTGTACATAACAGTTACATTGTTGAGTGGGAAATTATAACATTAATGTTATGTTACTGTTACTTTGTGTTTGCTGGGTAACCTAACCTAACCTAATCCAACTCTTAATACTATATACTGGCGACATTCTATGGATATACCAGAGAATATTCATAGTATGTACTACTATATACTAATAATATACTGGCGA